TATATCGATGATGGTGTATTGTGTCCATAATAGTATTGAATGTCTCGAAAGAGGAAAAAAAACGAGAAAAAGGGAAAAAAGCACAGCCACCACCAACACATTCACATCAATGAGATGTGGGTAATAAAGTTTCTTGCACATAGCAGTGCTATAGCTCGCATAATACCAATCTCATCGAAGTCAGTCAATGTTTCGGGCCAAACGGAAAATCCGAACTGATCTACTCAAACACACATAACCTACCCACCGAAAATGAATTTGACACAACGGTTGCAAACGGGATAGAGAGAGAGAGAGAGAGAGAGAGAGAGAGAGAGAGAACGAGCGCAACGAGAATGAATAAAAAGAATAACGCACAGCATGCCGAAAGCAGTAAATAGAATGTGTAGTAAAACGATGAAGGTTCAACGAAGAAATTTTTTTTTACTCCAATTTCGTTAAGTAAAGAAAAGCCTTTTCAATCTTGAATTCGGCCATAAATTCAAATTATTTTCCAATATTATCTGTTATGCTTTGGTTATATAGGAGGGATTATCTGATCAAATTTATTTATTTTCATGTTATTCAGTCTTCTTTTACTCTCCGTTGTTGTTTTGTCTCTTTTCGAAAGCATCTATTTTGCTTGCGCTAGCAATCTCTTGTTCACTCTGTCTATCTTAACCATTTCACCGATTCAAATTTGATTCTCGCGCATTTCGATATGCTTATGGTGCTATGTCTGATTTGCTTTGGGGCGGTTGCTGTTTGCTGAAGAAACAAGAAAAGCGAAATAGAAGAAAGTGGTTGACTTTTTCATCACTTCTGTCACCATTATATTGCTTCGTCTCTCCCCTTTTGTTCCTTCGTGCACATTATTTTTATTGTAGAAAATATGTTCGATTCTATCCTACAATCTATTCTTTTCTATTTGCTTCTCAATGTAAATTGGTTTTTACACATCGAGCGATTTTTTGTCGCCACCGTCATTCTACTTACTTTGCTCTTCCACTTCTTCACACATACACACCGGATTTCTTTTAAATTGACACCATCATCATTCAATTTTAGTGATTTCTTTCAATGAACTTTTTATTTATGGTTTTTCCTGTAATGGTTTTCAGTGCCATTCAAGTGGTCGCATTTTTTCTTCCTTGTCACCAGAAAAACCAAACAACAAACACACGGCGACCAAACCACTTTATTTTAACCTTGATTCAATCTAAGCACAATACATCACTTGCGCCTTAAAAATAGGTGAATGTGTGTCTCAAGTGTATCGTTGTGGCCATTGAACGAACTGAATATCAACAAAAAGATCCAATGATAAACAATATAATAACTATTTCGATGGAAACGATAAAGATCACGAATATAATGGTGCGTATATAAAACCGCTGAGAAAACTGTAATCAATGCATTGCACGCAAAATAACCTCCCATAATACTTTTCATTCTATCTCCGTCTCTTTCGTGGGGATTGTGTTTTCTTCATTGAACAAAAAAAAAAAGAACCAAATTTCGTAACATACATTTTTAGATGTATTGTATAAACAGCCGGAAATATCTGCGAATGACAGGATAACCATTGCATCCTGGTTTCGTTGAAGCTGAGCGAGTTCGTGAATGATATTTTGCTGTAGCCGAATTGCACGATGAATGCGTGATGCTTCTATACTATGTTTTATTTTAGCGCAACAAAGAATGTTGACAACAATGTTGTACCAATCTAGAAAAGAAAGTAAATAAAGCACCCAAAAAGCCGAAACGGACGAAAAATGAAAAGAACGAACATTTCGTAAAGTTTTCAGCAGCCCTTCATACAATTGATATATGTATGCGTGCGCTTGCTTTCTCTAGTGTATCTATTGAAAGTAATAGTGCCTAACAATAGATCCGGAACGATGGCACCGGCATTTTTATTTATTATATATTATATTCTGATGTCGAATTTTGTTTTCGCCAATCCAAGATTGTTGTGACATTTTTCTCTTTCATTCTCCGCTCGTATTCTATAAATATGGTGGTTTTTGTGTTCACGTCGGCAACTTTTCACTCTATTTTACTGTCATGAATTACTGGCTGAACTAGTCCATTGTTCGCACAGAAACTGTCATTGGATCTCAGCATCAAACGAGCGCTCGTGCTTTATGTTTATCATCATTTTTGTGTTGATTTCAAACTGAAAATAGAAAATAAAAGAATGTGGTAGGAAACTTGGGTTGGGCAAAAAGAATTCAGTTTCGGGCGAATTGTTGTAATGTGACATTTCTAGTATTTCCTTCATTTTCGTCTTCTAACCGTAACGAAAACAACCAAAATGATGATTTCAATCCTACAGCAAATACGAAGTTAAACACATAAACCCATAACCAAAAATTTGTAGAAGCTACAACATTCGAAACAGAATTTTAACAGCTCGGGAGTATATTTATAGAGATAGATAAGGGGGATAGAAATAAATAGGAATTATACTATTCCGAGAATTTTTGCATGTATGTCTGTATTTGTGTCCCGAAAAACTTGAAAATTCAATTGTTTCCGCATTTCGGATATTCCGTATGCGAAAAGCTTATTAATTAAACAAAACATCACTTTGTACATACATCTCAAATATACACATTAAAAAATGCCCCCACATAAAGTAGTAAAGTATCAATTCAGAGTAAAATTTCAATTGATTTCCATTGGTATTATGTTCATGCATAAAAATCAAGCAGACATGAAGCATTTTCCGTACAAGCCCCGAAGCTACAATATTGTCAAATAATTTGACTGAAAATTGTATTATTTGGATTTATTTCAACAAACGAACGAACACGCAAACAAAAATACTCTTCACTCTGGGAATAGGTCCAATAAGAAACTCGTTTGCGTACACAGACACACTTGAGAGTCGAACGCAATTGAATTCATATGACGATAAACAATATGATCTTTTGAAATGCATTGGAACTTTAGATTTTGGAAAATCTCTCTCCACTTTTCTTTCACTCTCTTTCTCCCTCTTTCTACGTCTCAATGAAAATTTTTGAATGCACATTCACCATGGTTATCTATAGATAAGTCAAACATTTCATGAGTAGCAATTTGACCACAAAATTTCCGATTTTCAGAATTTCCGAACATAATTAAACAAACAAATTACAAAGCATTTTGTGAGTGAGCGAACAAGCCTGTGAGAGATAATGTTGTGAGATGTATCTCGTTTGCTTAGATCTACATAAAATAAATAGCTTCACATATTGCTTGTTCGTTATACGCTGTGAGCAATGATGATGACGACAATGACAAAAGGAAAATTCGAATTTAATGTGAATTGTTTGTTGAAAATATCGAAACGTATGAAATGTGAATGATGTAACCACAAATCGATGTAAATAATATTATTCATTGTCTTTGTGCCATTTCAGCTTCATGAATGCTAGTTTTCTCTTTTCGTTAGCTATTTCATTCTATCTGCTCGCATTGACCAAATATTGGATACGATGAACGATCTGAAATATGTCGTAATTTCAATTTGACCGAGAGTATTTGGTCGGTCGGTCGATGGATATTGGGTGTTCAATGCAAAAACGCACACGCATTCAACTGCTCTTTTTCTCTTTCTCAGTGTCTATATAATTTTATTGGGGTTTTTTTCGGATCCTGAAAAACTTTTGGCTTTGGTTTTCTGTTACACTTCCTTTTTAAATGGTTTTTATTACGTCGAAATGCTGTGTTATGTGGATACATTAGTGGCATATACAGATTCATGCGATTGAAAAAGTGTGTGTGTGTGTGTGCTGTGTGTATTTTATTTACTATTATTCTAATGCTACAATTGTGGCCCGTTAAAGTTCAACTATTGCAAATGTGTGAGTGTGTTCAATTGCAGCAATTTCCATTTTGACAAACTCAGCACTTTTTCTCCCAGAAATAGATAGTTCTAGAGATAGTTTCAATTGGTGTTATTGTTGTTACTGTTACTTACCAGTGATCCTAGACCTTTCATATTTTGCAAATGGAATGTACTGCGTTTGGTAAAAGTTCTATTGAAACGTTTTGTTTCTTTCTTGTCTCTTTCGATTTCGGGCGCTCTTTTCACTTCTAAATTGTTTATATCATTCAGCTCCATTTCCAGTTCGATTACTTTTAGCCATATTATGAATAATCAAAACATTAACCAGATTTATCAATGAACCAATTGTTCATTTACGAATAAACAAAACATTTTTCACTCTAAATTTGACGATTTTTTTTTTAGCTTTTTGACAATATTCACCTGAATCGAACACTAACATCTGATTTAGTTTACAAAGTCTCTGGGATGCACATTGTGAACCCAACAATAACTACTAATAAATATATTCGCTTAAGGTCAAATGGCAACCTATTCTCTCTTTTGAACAAAAACGGTTTCTTTAAACGGTGAACCCGTCACTGTATATTAAATTCGTTTGATATCAAATTTGTTAACATTAAAATGGAAAATTGATGTTGACTTGCGGAATTTTCACTTTGAAGAATTCTATTAAAAAAAGATACTAGAAAAAAAGAAGTTAAACGTGATTTTCTTATATTGATATAGGTCAAAATAAAAATTTAGCTTACACAAAAAACGATGAAACACATTCAATTTGCATTGCATTGAAGACGATGACGAATGGTGGAACAGATGAAAAATTCATTATAAAAGGTTTTTTTCTTGTACCCGGAATTTATGCGCATCCCACATTTATTGATTCTTCTCATGATTTTACACTGTGTTGAAATTAGTTTCTCATCTCTCGTTCTTTGTGTGCCTAACTTCAAAGAGATTGAGCATTTTCTGTAAATATTCAATGCTAATTTAAGTTGAACGGTCGTCATATTCAATGCTAATTATTATTTTTCGCTGACTTTTAATCATTTCACTGATCAACATCAGAATCAAAGTGATTTTGACAACTTTTCGCACCAACGCTTTGTTTTTTTCATGCTCATAAATTGTAACAGACTTTGATTCGATTAACTAATGACTTTATCCTCATATATTTTTGTAGGTTTTTCGGCCGTAATACCGGGTTTTCCAAGATATTCTGTGCTAGGTGATCGTTCGCAGGGCGTGTACAATTTGCGAATATCAAACGCATCACTGGAAGACGATGCCGAATATCAGTGTCAAGTTGGACCAGCCAAATTTAATTCAGCTATTCGCGCCAATGCTAAATTAACTGTGATATGTAAGTACCTTACCAATTGTATCCTGTCGACAGGCTAACATTTTATTTCTCATTCATAATTCAATTATATAATTATCAACTTTTTGGGTTCTCTGTCTATGTGTGTGTGTGCATGCGTGCGCCAAACTCGATTGCAACTATGCACTAAATTGGCGCACTATGACAAATTTGCATTTAGCTTTTCAGTTCGTTTTCATGTTTTTTTCTTGTATTTTATTTTTCGTATTCGCCTTTTCATTTTCGTCTCTGTGTGCCGGTCTCGCGTTTTCAGAATATTCGGTGTCTAGCACCCGTTTTTGGGTCAGTCTACTTTCACAGCCCTATCTGGCCAATTGAAATCTATTTAATGGAAAGTTTCAGTCAAAACTTGCCTGCACACTCACTAGTTTCAGTCATCGAGTACAATGCAATGCGGTCGTTTGTTAAAAAATAGCGGAGAAATATTTGTGAGCGTTTGAGAGAGATAGAGTGAGTGGAAAACACTTTTTTTACGATTTGTATGTGTGTGTGAAGTGTGGTGCCGAGCAGAAATTCACTTTGATTGTATATACGAAATACTTTTAGGGATGTTTTCATCGCATTCCAAAATATTCACGCTATGGATCAAACTGTGCACAAGTTGTTTCTCGCGAATACGGTAACAACGAATTCGAAATCGTACAGAGAATAAAAAGTGAAAATTCAGATAGATGAAATATGAAACAAGACATACACACACACATACATACACCGAACAACAACAACAGGAGCAAAAAACCGAATTACATGGAATGATGAAGTTTGCAACCATATTTGCATTTAAGCAATGCTACTCACGGCTGAACTGTGGTGTGCACACAGAGCAAAAGTACTTCTGCATTTACCGGTGTTTTTTTCTTCTTTCATTACTTCACGAGTGTAGCATGTATATTCGTTGACGGCAAACTATTTTTACTTTGAAAGAATATTTTCGCTAGTTTTTGGGCACTTTTTTTTACAGTGTTACATTTTTTGCGCTTTATCTCGATCCGAAAGTCATTCATTACTTTTGTCAAAGCCCAAATGGGTTTGAGCTTTCATTCTCTTTCATTCTATTGCTCTTGTTCGGAACATGGTTTTCATGTTTTTTAAGCTGAAAATGGCATCACCACTTTCAAAGCGCTCATACATTCCTTAAATGCTAAACAAATAGCAAGATGCAAACGAATACAACCAACAACCTCGAAAAAGAAATACACAAATGAATTTAGCAAATATTGTTGCGTTTGAAACGCATTCATACACCCGGTGTGGCTGTGATCGTACCGACAACATACTTTGCATCAGTACAGCAAATGTACAAAGAAATAAACTTGTATACGCATTTCATGCTGAAATTTGAATTCAGTATGTAACACAAAAACTACCTTAAATAATGCTACGAATGGTTTTTCGCATGTTTTTCTCTATGCGTTCGTTTCTTTTTCACTTATTCCGGTGGAGAAAAAAAAAACATCACCCAAATGAATTTCCGCATTACATGAGAGAACATGGAAACTCATGGGTTTTGCATCTCTCGGCTGCACACATACATATATGCGCGCACCCGCGCTTATCCACGTTCAACAAATATATAAAAATATATTTAAAATAACGTTAACAACCCTTATTCAAGTTCGTTCCATATTTTTTGTACTGTATCTCGAAACTTCTTTGGCGCGTACTTTGTTTATGCCGCTTAAATTTCTTGTACCTACATTCTCCCTCTCTATTTCTCATTCGCAACATATATTGAAGGGAAAATAGTGAACATACTAGACATAAACCCGACAAGAATTCCTATCAAAATATGAATTTTTATGGGTTTCTTCTAATATGGAAACATTTTGATTGGAAACCTTCGGAACACAAATAATAAAATATGTTTTGTTTCAACTCAAAATATTTGATAGAGGGAAACCTTATTTAGTCATATTTTGGCCGGAATTGTTTAGTCAGTTATTAGTTTTACTTCTTGTGTGTATAACATTCAACACTTAACCCATTTCAATTGGATGCCAATTTTAATATTATTTCTTATTCGTCTTGCAAAATATGCAAGCATATCGACAATGGCATACGTGCACATGCTCAATATAGCTTAAACTGTCTTTCTCGCACATATTGCTTGCACCCTGATCTAACATAAGCCGAATCGATGCATATGCATTTTTTTACAACACATATTGGCATACAGTTTTGCACCATAGCCATTTCTCATTCGGTTTTTATTCATTTATTATAAATTTGTTACTTCAACAATTAAATTATTTATCGTTTTTTATAAATAATAATGAGTTCATTTTTGTTGTTGTTGTTTTTCGCAAAATTGATTCAATCTGAAATCTTTCAATCAACAAGAGCTTAACGACAATTAAACAGCACATCTCACAGGAAACTACGCTCTATTTATACTAGTTGATTGCAAAGTTTTATAAAATACTACTTTTGCCGTTCAATCGAGAAAGTTTTTATTTTCAAAAAGAGGAAAAGACAAAATTTTAAAAGCACTTGTTCTTCACTTACTTTGTAAAACAATGCGTTGCATAAGCAAAAATGAATTAAACACATAGTTTGAGAATAAGAGGAAGAAAAGAAGAGAGAGAGAGAGAGAAAGAGTCGAGAACTTGCAAACACAACGAAAAATTAAACATTATTCTATGTTAATGTCGAAACATAAATCATAAGCAAAGCACGACGTGTGCGGTGTTCTCTGTATCATATATTATTTAGGAAAGACGCGATACTTTTCAATTTTATATTGTTTGATAAATTACTATCAAGGTGTATGAGAATGCAAAACACACTCAACACGCTAAACAGTTGAGAATATACCGTCTCTTTCTCTCTCTCTTCGTCTGTCTCTTTTTCTTGAGCTCTCTTTTCACTTCATGTTCACTTTGTCGGTTTTGGTTTCGTTCTTTTACGTGGAAGATGCAGTTAAAATGAAACAAAAATATAAAAGCGAGTTTCATGCTTAGAAGTACAAGTAAGCGATGAGCATGGCAATGGAAAGAGATGAAAATGAAATAAAATAGAACAAGTCATGCTAAATCCATGCGCAAGATGAGTTATTTCTTAAAGTACATGCTTTATAATGGCGGCTCTGGAATAAGGCGAATGTTACCCTTCACCGCCGAAATGTAAAAGACAATTCTCGAAAATAGAAATGTAGTTAAATTTAATATTTGCATCGATGGAATGGTACAGATACGTTTTGAAAGCCAAATGAATGGCACACTTACGATTGCAAAGGACCATTAATGTGGTATACTTTGGCAGATGAAGTCCACCGATTCGAAAGTAACCACACAATACATATACAATCAGTATACATTCGTAGCTATATTCAAGGCACGCATTTAAATGTGTTGACATTTGGCAAAAATATCAAAAGAAAGAAAATAAAATAGAATTTCTCTTATATGTGTTTGGCACATTTGTGTGTGTGTGTGGCTTTCATCTTTAATACACACAATTCGAACCTCAAACATATATCGACCACCAAGCATTACTGTCGAAAACTTCGGAGTATTGTGCATATGGTACAGATTGAAATTTCGAAAAATTTAATAAAAGGAACAGATTCGTCTTCTACTGCGACGCATGCTGCTGCTATTGAGCCACACAGTTATGGATAAAAGAAAAAAGAGCGAAGCAGCAGCAATGAAGATCACATACATCTACTATATATATAATGAAAACGAATTAAAAGAAATATTTATATGTAAATGTTCTTGGTATATGATTGCAAATTATAAATTCCATTCTCGTGTGCAACGTCTGCTCTTTTTTAGCTCTCACACCATCACAATTTAGTTGCATGGGCTGCTTGAGACGGCCAACACTCACACATACAGAGATAAAACTGGCTTTAATAGTCATTTGCAAAGTAATAAATTGTCAACATTTTGTGCACAAGCCCACAAGTAAAACGTACATCATTGTTTCGCTTCTTTCGAATAAGTTATACACAGCGTCATGCAAGAAAAAGAGAGGAAGCACGCGAGAGAGAATTAAATGTTGGAATACATGTTTGGGCTCTGTGTGCATTGCCGAAGAATGCTGAATTTAATTGTATACTCGTATTTTTCAAATTCCCATCTCATTTTCGTGTCGGCCGGAATCGTTTACGTTTGTCGCATAGCCTTAAAAATACAGTCGACATTTTCGAAATTCTCAACTAACGCTTCATATCACAAATAGTGTAAAATGTGTACCATAAGCTTTTGTTCCCTCCATTCATTCTCAGTATACTTTCTTTCGGTTGTGTAAAGAAAATGAAATTTAAAAATTGACCATAAGAATGTCAATAAATTCAATTTTTTATATTCATTTTCTTCCAAGTTGCAACATGTGTTTTTGCAACATTGCAAAATTGAGATTTTTTCTGCCTTTATCAGATATCGCCATTCATTACCTTGATTTAAGTCAAGGTAATTGGTTTGATTACATCATTTCACTAAAATATAATTTACGATCGATCGACAGAGGGAGAGAGAGGTGTTTCTATTGCAAAAGTATCCAAAGCCATTGAAGCACAATTTCAAGTACTAACTCATTAAAATTAATAGTATTTGTGTTATTGTGCTTGCACTCTCATGTGTCTTTGTATCGTTGTGTGTGTGTGATTGCGTATACGCATAGCAAGAACTATACTTTTAGTACGTTGCATTCATTTTTGTCACTTAATAAAATTTATGAATTACCATAAAAAGAAATTATTAAATGACTTTTAAGGCTGGCACTACTATAGCGGTGAGTAGTTTTATTCAAATTCTGCCCCTTCGCATTTATGCGATGTCATTAAGGTTAATAAAAATGTTTTGTCGTTGTTTTCGGTAGAATTGAATTAAGATCAAAGGAATCTTGGTATTCGTGTGCACAAAGTGCAATTTTCATCATATAACCTACAAATCAGACCAAAAATGAAGAGTAATAATCAAATTCTTCGTCGCATTTTCAGCGTAGGTTCTTCGTTCTGTGCATCCAAAAGAGAGACA